GCAGTGCGCACAGGGTGCTGTGTCCTCAGTGACAAGCCCTGGATGGCCATGTTGGGTGCCAGCAGCCCCCAGGGAGTAAGTACAATGCAGTTTACGTTCGTTAAAATCGGTGCTCCAGGCCAGCAGGAAACCATGCGCCACCCGCCCCGTCCTCCCTGCCCCGTCCTCCCCTGCCCTGTCCTCCCCGCCCCATCCTCTCCTGCCCCGTCCTCCCCCCCATCCTCCCCCACCCCTGCCCTGGCGATTCTCCTTGTCTGCACCTGGGTGTGAGCCCACGGGCTCTGCATGGAGCCCCGCAACACCATTTTCTCCAGGCCTAGCTATCCCCAGATCCTGCCAGCACGCGGCTTCCGGCTGGCAGGGTCAGGCCCTGGGCTGACCTCCCACCACTGCCAAGTCTGCCCTTCCTGACACCTGGGAGTCTCTCCTGCACCTCCTGCCTGTCCCAGGCAACTCAGGTCTCTCCCAGCGCCGGCTCGGGCCAGGCCAGTGTTAGGGACGGTCGGAGGACCTTGACCCACTCAATTCCAGAGGTCACCCGTACTCAGCCACCAACCCGGTCCCTCTTGGCTTTGGGAGAGGGCACCAGGTGGACTGAGAGTGCCTTGTAGCCTGGCCTGGGGTGAAGAGGTGGGCAAGGGCTCAGCCTGGCAGGCTTCCGGAACGAGCACTGAGGCCCCCAGAGCTCTGTGCTGACCCCCGCCAAGGCTCTTTGGGTGATGTGAGTACCTCACTTCCCTCCACCTCAGGCACACATCTGCCCACAGACGTGGCAGCCACCCCGTGCTTGGCTCTCCCCAGGGCTCTAAGGGCCTTCAGGCGGGGATGCTCCCTGAGCAGCCTGGCCTGGGGACCTCTGGGGCCCGTGATGTGGCCAGTGGGGCAGGGACGGGCTGGCAGCGTGCTGGGCTGGCCCTGAGGGGGCTGGGGGAAGCCAGGCCTCCAACCACAGTGTCCAAAGGGGTGTGGCTGCCTTGGGCCCATCCAGACCCGAGATCCTGAGGGTGGGGTCGCCCCCGCCCTGGCAGGGCTGGGAGTCGGTCTCGGACAGAGCCCGTCCTGCCCAAAAGCCCGGCCGAGCCAGCAGCAGGGGTACAGGGACCGAGTGGCCCAGCCCCCTGGGCAGGGTGTCAGGGCCGGAGCCCAGAGGACTGCAGTTCAGGCTGCAGTCCCAGCCGGCGAACCAGAGCTGGGCAGAGCGGCCAGCGAGCAGCAGCCAGGGTGCCCTGGGCACTGGCCCCCCCGATGCCCCTACCAGAGCCGTAAGTGGGGGCACCCTGAGGCCGGAGGGAACATGGCCCCGGGGACTGAGCATCCGGCTCAGAGTGGCTCAGCAGAGGTTGGTGGCCTGGGCTTGACCACAGAGGTCTCTGGAGGGCAGGCAGGAGCTGCTACAGGTGAGAGCTCATGCAAGAGAAGCCCTTGGGTGGCGCCTGGGTGGGGTGGCCAGGAGGGAGCGTGGCCGCGAGGGTCGGTGCTGCCCGTGGCAGGCTGGGGAGGCCTCGATGCTGCCGAGGTGGTGCTTGTGGAGGTGAGCTCGGGGGCCGGGCCTGGCCAGGGATGCTGGGACGGGGGTGACCCTGTGCCCAGGACTGTGAGGTTCTCGAGACGAGAACAGGTCCGACTTGGGGAGAAGCGAACAGAGAAAAGAAAGACAGACCGAACGATCGAGAAAGAAACGAGAGAAATGGAGGGAAAAATGCAGAGCAGGGGACAAGAGCAGGGGCTGCCTTCAGGGAGGAGAGAGAGGGGAGCAGAAAGGGGCGTGGGGCGGTGGCAGGAGGAAAGGGCAGAGGGTGGGCTGAGGCGAGAATGGAAGCCAGTGGGGCTCCTGGGCACTGTTCCATGCTGCCAACCCCAGGTGTGAGAGGAGGGGTCCCTCCTACGTGGGCTCCACCTGGCAGGTGCCCGGGGCAAAAGGCTGCAGAGCTGTGGGCTCACGCAACTCCTGGGTACTCCAAAGACGGGCAGTGGGGGGAAAGATCAAAAAGCGAGCCATGGATGCCGGAGGGGCGAAGTGAGGCCAGGCCAGGGCTGGCGAGCTTGCCAAGGAGAGGACAAACGAGGAAATCAGAGCACCCAGCACAGGACGGGGGCTGGCTTTCCCAGGGACTGAGGGCAGGATTTCTGCGCCAGGACTGGGACCCGCTGCCCTCCATGCACACTCAGGGCATCACCTCTTCCGGCCTTTGTCCCTGCCTGGTTCTCCCCACACCCAGTTCTTGGAGGTGGAGGGGTTGGAGCCCCAGCCACGTCACCGGCTCCCTGGGGCTCCTGCGCGAGAGCTGCAGCCCTGAGCCTTCGTCTGTGTCTGCAATGGGGGTGAGGGGCGGCATTCTGGAGGCGTCTCGAGGACGGAGGTACTGGCTGCACGGGTGCTCACTGAGCCTCTTTAAATGGGGATGTCTGCACCTTAGGCACAGAGGACCGGGCAGGTCCACTTGACCTCAGCCACCAGGACATCCCGAGGGCACGGGAGTCTCACACGGTCCACTGAAGCTTACCCCATCTCGGGGCTGGCAGGGGTTGTCCGCAGCACCAGGGGACACACACCAGGGAGTCTCCTGTGGAAGGAAGCCAGCCCAGGGGCAGATTCTTTTCTGCTCTGCAATGTCTCCCCTGCACCCCCAGGAATGATGAGCCTGGAAGGGGCTGATCAGCCAAGAGAGCTTTGGGGAGGGGCTGGGGGCCAAGACGGGCACCCCAAAGCTCCGCAGGCAGACATGGCATGGGGGGGGCAGGCAGAGGGCCTGGCTGCTGAGTGCTACACCAGGAAGATCCCGGTGCCGCGGGGGCAGGACAGGCGGTCAAATGCCAGGCTGGCTTGGCTGTTCCCTCTGGGTGCCGGCTACACCTCCTGCCCAGGTGGGCGCCACATCTGAATAAGGTATGAAGCCTCTGGTTTCGTGGAGAATGGGCAGAGCCTTCAGGGATGTGAGGTATATCTGAGTACGACTAGCTGTGAAGGAATGAGGATGGCAGAGCCCCGAGCTGGTGCCAGGGACTGGTCGCGTGTCCTGGAACGTGCCAAAAGCCTGCCTCGTGAGCACGGCGAGAGCTCTGCCAGGCAGTCCTAGCCGGTCCGGGAGCCTCAGTGCTCCCGAGGGCTGTCCAGCGAAGGCCGGAGGTACAGCGGGGCTGTCCGTGAGGCCCGTGGGCATCAGGGCTCTGCGGTCCCCTCCTGCGGGAAGCGGGCACCAAGCGGACCTGCATGTAGGTGCGTGCGAGGGTGAGAGCTGCGGCGGGGGACGCTGATCACGCAGTGCTGGCGAGGGCCCCAGAAAGGTCCCCCGGGTCGCCTCGCCAGTGGCACGAGTCCAGCAGCGTTGTGGCCAGTGACACCGATGGGGACAGGAAGAGCCACGTGCACAGCAGGCAGAGCAGGAGGAGGGAGGGACGAAGAAAGAGCAGGCATGGGGCAAGCAGAGTCCCAGCCATGCCGAGGGCAGCAGACAGGACCACCCTCAAGCAGGGCAGGGCCCTAACCTCCGACCCAGGCCGGTCACAGCAGATGGAGCAATGGCTGTGGAGCAGGACGAGGGTGCTGCCGACACAGGGCTGACCTCGGAGCACATCACACGAGGTAGGGCACCCAGCCCAGGGAGGTGATGGGCTGATCAGTGGGATGTCAAGCTCGGTTCTGGACCCTGCTGTGAGGGCAGAGGTGGACGGTCCCTGACCCAGCCTCTTAGGACCGACGGGAAGCCAGGGGTAGAGGAGTTGGGAAAACAAGGCTCCGTTTTCCAGTCTCAGCAGGGTTCAAGGCCTGGGGCTCTGTGGAGGCCACACCATGAGGCTTCCAGGGCCATAGATGCCCTGAGGTCAGTGCTATCTGCTGGCACATAGGCGCCCCTCCCACTGGGTGGCATCAGGTAGGCTGAGAGTGCCTCGTAGCCAGGCCCAGAGTGAAGAAGTGGTCTGGGACTCAGCCTGGCAGAGTTGGGGACCTGCCCAGCCGGCCTGGGCGCCTGTGGGACTCGGTGGTGTGGCGGCAGGCCTGCGCTGCAGTCACCCTGGCCGGCGCTCATGGTCTAGTCAGGCATCACCGCTCTGGGGTGAAGCTGAGGCAGGAGCTCAGGGCCCTCGTGCCGTGCTGGGTGGGTCATGAAGCTCGGGGGGCTTCAGCAACAGGGGATGAAACCCCATTCCATTCCGAGTTGAAGATGGGGCTGAGTGCCTCCTGAGCGGGTGCCAGGGCGGGTGCCAGGGAGGCTGCGAGGCTGGTGGGCTGCGCTGGGGACCAGGACAGCAGCCCCAGCTGTGGCGGAGGAGGGGGATAGGGCGAAGCAGGTTCAGACTGGGTGGGTGGGGAATCCAGAGGAACAGACCCCTCCTTGTGCGCCTCTCCCCAGAGGTGGAGGCGGGAGGCAGAGACTCTCACAAGCCTCGGGTCATCAGGAGTCAAGGGCTGGCGCCTGGGATCCGGGGAGGATACGGAGGGCTGATGGGGGGTGGTCCAGGAGGAAGGGAGGGCTGTGTGTGGAGGGGTCTGGGGAGGGTGGGGAGGGCTGTGTGGGGTCGGCGGGAGTGGATCTGTTTCCCCTTGGCTGTGCCTCCCCAGGGACTCCTAGACACACCCACGGCCACTGCACCCCTTCCTCCCGGCCAGGGCCCTGCCCAGCAAGGCGCCCCCAGGCTCAGAGCAGGCACCGGAGCGCCTCTTTGAGGGACTTCCTGCCAGCCCCCCCTCTGTGCTGCTTGATCCACAGCAGGGGTCAGCGCTGGCTTCTTGGCAACTGCTGAGATTCATCAGGGCAGGGAGGAGATCTCACTCCTCCGTCGTTGGGTCCCTAGCACCTGACAAAATAAACGCCAGCTAAGGAAAGATGGAGGGAGGGAGAGAGGAGAGAGCAAAGGAGGGAAGGACAGAGTAGAGAGCGGAGGGAGCGGGGGAGGGCGGAAGGGAAGGAGGGAAGAAGAGGGGGAAGGATGGCGGAGGGGGAAGAAACGGGGCGAGGCAGCTATGGACGAATCACGCCCTGGGCCTTCCCAGGCTGACCGAGAAGGAAGCCGGAACCAAGCCTGGGCTAGCCCGGCGGGGGGCGGTGGGGCAGGTGCTGGCCATGTCGGGGGCAGCCAGAAGAGCAGGGAGCCCCGCAGAGGAGGGAGGCTGGGGACGGGGGGAGCAGTGTCGGGTGAGGATCTGGTTCCCCCGACATCCCTTCCCGGGGGTGAGACCTCAGGCCCAGCCTTCCCCCACCCCAGGCTAAGAAATGGGTGAGAGCTGAGGGAGACTGAGGCACGGGCCATTCAGGGCGGGGTGAGTTCTGGACCCAGCAGGCCCAACACCCAGGCCAGGGTTCCGGGGGAGGCCAGGTGGGGTGAAGGCCAAGAAGGGTCCGGGGCTGGGCATGAGGCGCTCCTGGCACCCGAGCACTTTGCCTGGAGGGAGGGGGGCCAGATGAGCCGTGTAGGTACCAGGAGGGGCTGTGGCAGGGCAGCCCCCCTCCGTCAGCCCCCAGGCCACTGAGCCCTGGGTAGCGACAGCCAGCAGAGAAGGCTGCAGACAGGGGAGTGGAGGCTCCTTAGCTTTGGGGTCTCCTAAGAGGCCCCCAAATGCTGTCCCACAGTGAGAAGGCAAAGAGAAGCCCTGCAGGGTCCCCCCATTTTGCAAAGGGCTGCGGATGTCAGAAGGCAATGCTGCTGGCGGGGGCTGGGCCTTCGACGTCACCAAGCCTCTGCCCACCCGAAGGGCCCAGAGGCAGCTGCGGGGAGGGGGCGCAGTGCGACGGAGTGGGGCCTACGGTCTCCTTTCTCACGGCCTTCCTGGGCTGACCCTGGGTCCCTGCTCGGCCATGCGGGCTTCCGCATATAAAATCCATGGGGGCAGAACCTCCCACCCCCGCCAGCTTCCGGCTCCCTGTGACTAGGCCCCTGTGTCACCCCCAGCACTGGGCTGGTGCCGTGGAGGAGGGAGGCTCCACCCTCCCCCTCAATCAACCCGCCAAGGAGCAGAGGTCCGTCCCCCCAGTGTTGTGAGGAAAGCCAGCTCTGCAGGCCACTGTCCAAGTCCAGGTGCTGCCTCCTCCATGGAGCCTTCCAGATGTGATCTGTGTGGCAGAGGCTCAGAAGGACCTGGGTGTGGGGATCCTAGCGGGAGGCAGGGGACCCAGCCACCGCGGGTGGCTCGGCCTCCTCTCACGGCCTCCTCCTCCTCTGGAGCACAGGCTCCAGGGGCACTTGCCCAGCAGCACCCACCTTAGGGAAGCAGGAAGCTGGTGCCAGCAGACAAGATCCCAGTGCCTCCTGCCCAGTGGGAGTCACCCATCCATTTTACAGCTAAAGACTCTAGGCCCAGGAAGTTGAGGCTGGGGCTGAGTTCTCACCACTGGGAAGGGGGCTCCCCGAGACACTTCCTGGCGCTGGCTCCCTGCTTCCCCACGGCCGGTGTGTGGCCCCAAGTGCCCACCGTCCTAGCCTCCTGGCACTCCCGGGCAGCGTGGCTCCTCCTCCCCACCGGTGTTCGCCTGGGGCTGGTCTGTGTCCCTTGGGTTCCTCCAATCAGCACCACCCCGTCCTCGTGATCCCTGTCCTGGCTGAGTCTCACCCAGGGTCACCAAGGATGGCAGTGAGCCCGTGCCTTAGCTCTTAGCTCTACTCTGCACCCCACCCTGGGGCAATTGGGGGCTCTTGGCTCTCTGCTCCTCTGAGCCTCTCCCCGAAGAACCGTCTGTGGCTCCCACGGGCCCGAGCTTAGCCGCCATGTGCTGCTAGGATCTTCCTGAGCCCCCTGCTCCCAGCAGGCCGGGTGTGCCAGACCTCTGTGCCCTCCGTGCACTCAGGTCCATCCCCTCTAGGCGTAGCCACAGGGAAGAGACCCAGGAACACTGGCCCTGTGACTGCAGCGCCTCCTGTGCCCCAGCGCAGAGCCAAGCACTCTGCTGGATTAACCCGCTTGGCCCTTACAGACGGGGACTCAGGCCCAGAGCGGCCGTCTGGCTGTCGGCGCTGCCAGCACTGGGGACGAGGCAGGCCGGGGACCCTGGTGGAGGGGGCTGGGTCTTGGGCTGTCACTTCTGTGCTCCCCTTTCTGCCTGGATGCATGCGTCCCACTGTGGAACCAGCCTCAGGCCACGGACGGCACCCTTCACGTGAGGCCCCATTGGCCAGGGGAGACAGGCAGGAGCCTCGTGCTTGGGATGGGGGCCCTGGCCTGCTGGACCTTCCCCTGCGCTCTCAGGCTCAGCTTCTCTGGCTATGGCTGCTCTCAGTCACCTTCCACCATCTCAGCCACTGCCTTCAATGTCTTGTAGAAGTCACCCAGCCCGAAGGGCCCGGGTGAGGCCTCCTGCCGCCAGGCCTGCTCCTCGGTCCCTGGTGGCGGCGTGGCCCCGAGGGGGTCCCTGCTGCTCTCCAGGCTGCTCTTGCCCCCAGGTCTCCCCAGTGCAGCCAGCCAGGGCAGCTCCCTCCTGAACCATGACTCTGGTGGTTCCAGGGAGGGGCCTCAGGGACCCACTCCAACTGCACAGAGAGAGCAGCTCCCTCTTCCCGGCGGCTCATTCCCTGGCCTCACCAGGCAGAGGCTAGGATCCTGCTCACTGGGGTGTCTCCCTCTCCCACTGGCCCCGGACTACAAGGAAAAGGGTTGACTCCCACCCTGTCCATACCCAGCAGGGTGCAGGCACAACTGGGAAGGTGCTGGAGGCCCTGGAGGGAGGCTGGGTCTGTGCCAGGTGTTGGGGGACAGGTTTCCATCTCTAAGCCCCAGCCCTAGGCGGATGGTGCGTGCCCCTCCCGCTGCCCCACCTGTTACCCACCTGCTGGCCCCAGGCTGTCTCCGCTCCTGGCTCCCCTCCCAGCTGCGTTCCCAGCTGCCTTTCTGGGGAAGAGTGACAGCTTGGCTGTGTCACACCCTCGGGCCCCTCCCTGGGCTGCTCCCTCCCTGGGGCAGGACCCCTGCATGTTGCACAACCCAGGGGCCAGCCGACAGGGGCGGGCTCCCAGGCTGTGGGGTGCGGGTGCTGCCAGCTGCCACCGCATTCGCCCTGGCTTGCCAGATAGAGCCGGACTCACACTCTGAAGCCCGTGTCAGGAATGCCGTGGCAGGCGGCTGGCGGAGGCAGGGGTACTCAGGGTTGCTATCCCACTGCCCTCTGGAAGCCTCAGCCAGGAACGGCCCCTGTGGGCACCTTTTGCCTCCACACTGCGCTGTGTCTCTCTGTTCTTGGGCTCTGCGGTGACTTGAAGGGCAAGTCTATAACCCCAGGGGAAGCTGGGCTCGTGAGGGGACCAGAGACCTCGGTGCTGTGCAGGGAGCCCCAAGTCACCCTGGTGGGAGACTCCCCAGCTCCCCAGGCCTCCTGCCAGCTCCCTGTGGTGTCCAGGGGACCTGTTGTCAGGCCTGAACGAGGAGCTCCCCCTCGACGTCCTCCCTGCAGCCCCCACTCCTTGAGAGAGCCTCCTCACTCCCCAGGACTCCAGAAAGGACCCTCTCCACCAGCCTCTGGGCTCAGGACAGCCAGGTGGGGCGGCCACAGGGGCTGTCGGCAGGCGGCAGAGTCTGGACAGGGACTGAGCCCCACGCTCACTCTGGAAGTATCTGCAGGGGAACAATAGAGGTAGCCGGGTGTGCTGGGCCGAGGACAGGCACCGTTGGGCCCCTGGTGGAGACTGGGAGGTAGAAGTGGGGGTGCCGTGGAGGAAGGAGAAGAAGAGCTGGTGTCCCCAGTCAGGGGGTGGTGGGCAGTGGATGAGGCTGACCAGAACAGACCTAAACTTGGGGAACCCCACTCAGAACGAGGCTTCCATCAGAGTTCTGTGCATACTGGTGTCCTTGGCTGGGGGCCAAGCCTCGAAGTGGAGCCTGGGACCATGCGGGTGCGGGGGTGCACCAGGGTAGGAGGTGGATGGATGGAGCCTCTCCACTGCCTGGCCCCTTGAGCTGAGGCCCCTGGGCCTCAGAGCCAGAACAGACACAGGAAATCGCCTAATTGCATTTGCGCAGGAACACCAAATCCCTCGCAGCTGCATGGGGCTGAGCCAGGGCCACAGGCGGGTCGGCCATCCCAGAGTCCTGACAGCTCCACCGAGCCTGCCAAGGGGCCTGTGCTGCTGGCCGGGGGGCGCCTTTCCCAGGCCAGAGGCCCGCACCCCACCCCAGGAGAGCTGTCCCCCTTCCAGTTCCCAGAACGGAGCCCAGCTGTGGAATAGTGAGGGGGTGAGATCATGGGGAGGGGGCCCGCATTACTCATATCCTGGGGCAGGGAGAAAGGGAGGAGATGGGGAAGGGGGCCCAGAGGCCTCCTCGTCCTCAGGCTGCTGGGTCAGGGGCCAGGGGCCAGCAGGGCTTCTCCCCAGCTTTGGCTTTTAGGAGAGACACCGGCAGGAAATGCTTTCCCTACACCCCCACTCGGTCCCCAGGCCCCTTGCCAGGGAGAGCTCAGTCGGGGTGATGGTCGAGGGGCCCAGCTCAGCTCGGCAGGGATGAGGTTCCCAGAGCGCACACCTTGGCCTCCTGCCAGGGCCGGCACCGCCGTTGTCGGGGTGATGCAAGGCAAACAGTGAATGTTTGCCTCCCGAAAGCGAGGCTGCAGAGCCCTCCAGGGATCCCTGGGGGGGACGTGGTCCCCTTGTTCCCAAGCCTGCCTGCACACGAGTGTGGGTGTCAGGTGTTGCTGTGGGTGAGCGCGTGCGTTCTTGCATGCGCCTGGGGCTCGGGCGTGCGTGCCTGTGTGGCCGGAGCGTGGGCTCATGGAGAACGTGCTTCAGCCAGTGTGTCCCGGTGTGTGCCCTGGGCCTGGGGACTCCCGATGCAGGCCGCGCTCCCTGTGCTGGGTGTGAACCGTGAGCAGAGCGAGGGCCTCTGTGAGGCTGTCAGGGCCTGGACTTGCTGCCCACAGGGGTGGACCCAAGGAGACGTGTGCACATGAGCGCCTGGGTTCTCTTCACTAATGTGTGCTCCCCAGCCCCACTCTCCCCACGGCTTGGTGGAAGGGGTCAGTGGAGCTGGAGTGAGGGCCCTGGCCCCACCGGGAGCCTGCGTCCACGGACAAGCTGGGGCTCCATCTCATGCCCCAGGCCCGGGGCACACACCCCAGCTGAGCCCTGGCCCACATGGAGGGGCTGGGACATGGGAAGCTGGGGAGGCACATGGCCAGGCTCCCCCTCTATGGAGGCCCTCCCCGCCTCAACACTCTGCCCCAGCTCTGTACCAGCCTGGGTTTGGAGGGTCGTGAGTGAGCACAAGGGCCTCTGCACCCCCAAGCTCTGCCTCTCCAAGTGGAACCAAGTCCAGCAGCCCCCAGCCCTGTGGAGGCCAGCAGCGGCGGGAAGCCCGGCCTCATCTGCCCGGATGATGGGAGCCAGGTGTGGGGAATTAAGTGGCTTCCTCTGGGGCTGGGAGTTGAAGGCACTTCTGAGGAGCAGGACAGGCGGGCGGATTCGGGAGTGCAGGGGGCGGGTGTGCAGGCGGCTGGGTTTGCGTGGCTGGAGTCCCCTGTGGCTTCGGTGGGGGGAGTGGGCCTTGAACACGGGCCTGCAGAAGGGCCTGGCTTTTGTCTGAGAGGCTTAGGGGAGACTAGGCGAGATTAGATCATGCTCTGGCAGAACATGCTTTCTGGCCGGGGGACGGGGGCCCGGTGGGGAGCCAGCCACAGGGTCAGGCAGCGGACACTGGCCGGGAAGAACAGAGACCCCGGCAAGGAGACCCCAGCCCTGCTCCTTGTTCTGGCCTAGGCTCCCTCCCTGGGTCTGGGATAATAACCCCTGTAGGATCGTAGAGACCCTGGACCCCACCTCAAGCTCTAGGAGGGCAGTGGGAGGCAGGACTGTGACAGCTGCGACCCCAGTGTCTGCAGGACCTGGGCCATCTGAGAGCTGCTGGGCAGGCGCTCCGACCCCCAAGTTCAGGCTAGCCTGTGTCTTCCTCTGTCCCCCATCGGGGAGTGTGAGACCCTGAGAAGCCATGGTGTCAGGCTGTGAGAGCAGAAGCGCTCCCTTACCTCAGTTTTCCTGTCTTTGAAACAGCTCAATCAACCATGCGAAACTTTGGGAGGCTGAGGCGGGCGGATCTCCTGAGGTCGGGCGTTCGAGACCAGCCTGACCAACACAGAGACATTCCATCTCTAATAAACAATATAAAATTAGCTGGGCATGGTGGCGCGTGCCTGTGATCCCAGCTACTTGGGAGGCTGAGGCAGGAGAATCGCTTGAACTCAGGAGGCGGAGGTTGCAGTGAGCTGAGATCGCGCCATTGCACTCCAGCCTGGGCGACAAGAGTAAAACTCTGACTCAAACAACACCAACAATAAAGAAACAGCTCAGAGAGACTCCGCAGAGGACTCTGAAATCAGGATGGGGTGTGGTTGGGTGAGCCGACCCCATAGGGTCCTCCCAGCTATGGGGTTAGGCCTAGGCAGGAGCCCAGGCCTTCTCTGAGCAGGGCTGCTGGTGGGACAGGAGCTATCTGCCTGGCTGGCAGGCTCTCCCTTCCTCAGCCTTGGGCCTCATGGGGGGCCCTTCTCCCCAACACAGCCTGCCTTTGAGGTGCAAGACGGAGCATCCGCAGGTGGGGTTGGAGGCGCCGCCTGGCGGTACGCTGGGGCCAGTCTCCCTGGACACCAGTATCTTCTTCTGGGCCCTCCGGGGTCAGCTGGGTCAGGGCCTTGGCTCTAATGAGGGAGGGGCAGGCTGGGAGAGGGGGACAGAGGGCCTTTGTTCTGCTTCTTCAGGCCTGAAAGGGCCCCCGAGGGCACGGGGGGCCCAGATCCTCACAGGGCCCTGGGACCCTCGCCTGGGCCAGAGGGCACCTCATGACCACGTGCCCAGCCTCTGTTTAAAGACCAGGTCTGCCCGCTCCGTGTGGCCCCAGCAAGGCCTGCGTAGACAGGAGCAGCGGGTGCACAGCAGCGCCTGTCTTGACCGTGGTGTGACTGTCCACTGTGTCCCCCACCAGGCTCACAGCTCAGCGGAGCGTGGAGGACAAGGGGGAGGCCGCCCCAGAGCAGTGCCAGCGTGAGCGAGTCGGGCAGCTGCAGGCCCAGGACGAGGACGGAGGCGGCCATGCCCCCGAACAGGCAGAGCCGGAGACGCTGTGAGCAGCCCCGCCCTCAGCCTTGGGCTCCAGCCCCTGTCTGTGCACCCTTGGGCCTGGGCGGAGGGGGAGGTCAAGGGACTGTGCTTGGGGCGGCCCAGCGTCGGACAGCGAGGAAGGCCCCCAGGAGCAGGCGCGGGAGTGGGCGATTGCTGCTTGAGGAGGCTGGCCAAAGCCCTGGGTGAGGGTCTGCCAATGCCTGGCTGCGTCCCGGGTGCTGAACCAGGCTCTGCGCCCCCACTCTGGTCCTTGCTTGGACTGCCTCTGACCCCAGCCACGTGTTCTGGCCCGGGCCCCCCACCAGACCCCCCCGCCAGTGACTCACAGAGCCACGCCCAACTTGGCGGCCAGGCTGGCTTGCTTCCTCCCTGGGCCCAGGCGGCCTCCACGGCTGGGCTGGGCTGGGCTGTTTTTGCAATAATGCTCCCCTTCCCCCCCGGCGTCTTTTGTTCCATTTTTCTCCGAGTCAGCAGCCTTGAGCAGAGTGGGGTGCAGCGGTCACCATGGTTAGGCCGTCGGCCATCCCACCGAGAGCCCCAGCTCTCCAGGGCTCACCCCACCACACGGGAGGCCTGAGAAGTTGGGGTTTGGGAGGAGCCTGGGGGCCAGGGCAGCACTTGGGGAGCCTCAGGATGATGGGGGAAGCACAGACCTACCCTCAGGAGCCCCAGACTGATGGGGGAGGCATAGTCCTGCTCTTAAGGAGCCACAGGCTGACAGGGGAGGCACTGCCCTGCCCTCAGGGAGTCCTAAACTGATGGAGGAGGCACAGCTCCACCCTCAGGGAGCCCCACACTGATGACAAAGGCACAGCCCTATCCTCAGGGACCCCCAAACTGATGGAGGAGGCATAAGCCTGCCCTCAGGGAGCCCCAGACTGATGGAGGAGGCACAGCCCTGCCCTCATGGGGCCCCACACTGATGGAGGAAGCACAGCCCTGCCTCAGGTAGCCCCAGACTGATGGGGGAGGCACAGCCCTACCCTTAGGGATACTCTGACCACAGAAGACACAGCCCAGAGCCAGCTCTCTGGCACACAGGGTCCCCCACACTTGGAGCCCAGGGCCTGAGCAGGCGCCAGGAAGTGAGTGGCACCTCCGGGCAGAGGAGGTAGCGGCCGCCCAGTCCTAAGCTCCCTCCTGCTACCCTCAGCCTCAGCCTGAAGGCCTCGGAGGTCCCTGAACTGGATGAGGACGAGGGCTTCGGTGACTGGTCCCAGAGGCCAGAGCAGCAGCAGCGCGAGGGGGCCCAGGGCACCCCAGACGGTGGAGAGCCCCCCCGGTGCAGGAGTCCTGAGGGGGAGCAAGAGGACAGGTGAGTGGGGGCCTCAGGGTGGGCGCTGGGCAGAGCTGGGCTCCCTCTGGGCCTCAGGGTGGGCGCTGGGCAAAGCGGGGCTCCCTGTGGGCCCCCAGCCTAAGCCTGAGCAGCCACCCCATGACCCCCTTTCCAAGCAGCCCCTGAAATGCCCCCATGGCCAGGAAAGGGGGAGAAAGAAGGGGAGGAAGAGGGCGAGACAGCATGGCGGCCTGCAAGGGGCGGCGAGGAAACCTCATTCTGGGGCTCCCCAGAGCCCCTGGGCCCCATCCAGGCAGCTGCGGGCCGGGCGTGTGCTGCCACATCAGCACACAGCTGCGGCCGCTTCTGTAATGGAGGCTGAGAGCCCGCCGCCGCCCCTTCCTCCCTCGGGGCTGGCTGATCTCCATTCCCACGGAGGGGAGCAGGTATTTCCAGATGTGCGCGCCGGAGAGTCGGCCAGAGGGGGGACGCGGTTTCCAGATGTGTGGATGTGTGTGCCTGTCTTAACCCCAGCAGGCCCGAGAGGGGCTGCTCCCGAGCCCCACTTCACTACCCACACTCAGGGTTCCCGCCATCTCAGTCTGCTGCAGCCACGATGGGTCCAACTGCAGCCCTGTTCAGGACCCCCTGGCCTTGGGTGGGACCAGAGCCCGTGGCCGGGTGGCAGTTCTCCCCGGTCGTGCCGGCCCCTCTGAGACCCCCTGGAGCTCTAGGGGCTGGTGTTGCTGAGCAACGTTCCCTTCTCCTGCTACAACCAGGCTTCCACTCCACAAGAACCCCTGGTCCTAGCCTGGCCCAGCGCCCACCGCCCCCTCCCCAGGCCTCGGTTTCCCCATAGGCGCCTGGGAGTCCAGAGGCTCCACATTTCTGAGACGGGGCAGTTCCCTCCTCTCTGGCCTCAGGCCTTGGCAGGCAAGGCTGCTCCCAACAGCAGGGGGCACTTTGACTCTTCGGTGGAGCCCAGCTCTGCGGCCGCCACTCCACCCCCCCACCTGTCTGGCCGCAAGGCGCTGCTCCTGAATGGCCCCTCTGTGTGGCTGCTGCTGGCTCAGACCCCTGCCCACCTTGGGTGGGTGGGTCTGGGTCTTGGCTGGCACACACACCCACAGGCCTGAAATCATGGAAAATTCGAGAATTTCCCATCTTCTCCTCCAGCTTCAGTCCTGCTCAAATGCAGAGGCGCTGAAAGCTGCCAGCTGGCTGGCCTCCCCCTCCCCCGCAGCCGGCAGCCCCTTGGCCCCCCTCCTCAGTGACCTGGCCCCTACCTCTGCCTGGCCTTCCAGATGACCCAGGCTCGAGCCCCCCATAACACCCACAGGCCCCCACAGGGAGCAGAGCAGGAATCGTCACCCCGGGGACCCTGCCAGACCAACCGGTGGGTGAGCAGCTGCCAGGTGGAGGCCCAGCCAGAAAGCTGGGGGTTGAACCCAGCCTCCGTGCTTGGGGGACCCTTAGTTGGTAGGGCCCTGCCTGGTGGGGACTGGTCAGTTCCCCAGGAGTCTCAGGCCCTGACACAGAGGCCCAAGCAGACGGCACTGGCTCTGAGGCCGGCGGACCTTCTTACCCAACGGGCTGGGTCTCAGACCCCTTGGTGCTCAATGAGCCTTACTGCCCTCATTTCACAGATGGGGAAACTGAGGCTTATAAATGGAAAGGGGTCAACCAAGCAATCCAATGGCCCTAGAACGGCTTTGCCTCCCTTTCCACCCACAGGCCCGGCCCACATGCCTGTGGAAAGGGTGACAGTGACGAAGGCCACCTGGAGGAGTTGAGTCTGAGCAAGGAGGGGCCAGACCCCGAGGACACCGTCCAGGACAACCGGGGGGCCGCCGGGGCCGAGGAGGAACAAGAGGTAATGGCTCCACCTCGGAGGATCCGGGTGCCCCCACCCCGGGATGAGTCTGCCTTGGCTGTCTACACCACTGTGGGTCCTATGGCACTAACCCAGAGGGTCAGCACCCCACACCCTCCACCTTGCAGCCCCTTCTGGGCCCTCATTCTCAGGGAGGGTGAGGCTCGTGGACCCTCTTGCAAGCTCCGGACGCAGTTGCCCAGACTCCTCAGTCTCTCACCACCAGCTCCAGAACGGGAGCATGTCAGGACCACGGAGACCCTGAGGCCCAGGGAGGGGACGGCAGGAGGGGTACAGGCAAGGGTCACCTGGGGTGCCTGGTTGTTTTTTTTCCTAGCACCGGAAATGTCAGCAGCCCAGGACACCCAGCCCCTTGGTCTTGGAGGGGACCCCTGAACACAGCTCGCCTCCGCTGAGCCCCACCACCAAAGTAGGTCAGGCTGCAAAGCCCGCCATCTTCTCCCCTCTCCCTGACTCATCCCCAAATGGCCAATCCCACATGCCAGCCACAGGAAGACCAGGGCCAGGCCCGGCTTTTGCCCATTATTCCCCCATTGCCTGGCACTCAACAAACCCCCGTGATCTAAGAGTTGGGGGCTGGATCGGCGGATGGAGTCACTGGGGGGATGGAGGCTGGGGCTTTGTCCCGGCTGCGGCAGGCTCACGTCTCTCTCCACCCTCTGCAGCTCATCGACAGGACCGAGTCTCTAAACCGCTCCATAGAGAAGAGGTCTGTCTGTCTGTCTATCTGTCTGCTTTCTGGGCTCGGATCTTAGGTTTCCCCAAGAAGGGGTTGAAGGGAGTCACAGGGTAGAGACCTGGAGACCACAGGAGATGTCTTGAGCGGGTTGGGGGAACCCCTGTGGGGAGCCATGGGGCCTGACGCATCTACCCTCCAGTAACAGTGTAAAGAAGTCCCAGCCAGACCTGCCCATCTCCAGGATTGACCAGCGGCTGGAGCAATACACCCAGGCCATTGAGGTATGGCCCGGCTCCCCACTGTGGCCACGCCTGTCCTCCATCCCAGCACAGTTCCCCCATCCAACCGGTGCCCTTATTCATTCAATCAATTCCCCTCCATCCAAACAGTATAGCTTCATCCAATCAGTGCCTCTGCTTCTAATCAATGCCCTTCTATCCAAACAATACTCCTTTCTCTAATCAGGACATCTCCATCTAACCAGTATCCTTCCATCCAACCAATACTCCTCTGCTAAATCAGTGCCCCTTCCGCCACCCAGTGCAGCCTCCATCCACCCAGTACTCGTGTATCCAGCAAGCCAGCATTTCTCCATTCTATCGTGCTCTTCTGCACGGGTAGTGCCCCACCTCCATACACCGCTCCTTCACCCAGTCAGCACCCTTCCGTTCCCCCAACACTTCTGATTTCAGTCAATGCCCTTCCACCGGCCAAGACTCGCTCCTCCATCCAATCAACACCTTCCTATCAAACCAACATTCCTGCATCCAATTAATGCCTCTGCATCCAACCAGCAATCCTCCATCCACCAATGTTCCTGTATCCAATCAATATTCCTTCACCCAACCGACACCTCCTCATCCATTCAATACTCCTCCCTTCATTCACTGCTCCTCCAATCAGTCAGTACCTTTCCACCCTACCAGTGGCCCTCCATTCAACCAATGCTGCTTCATTCAATGTCGTTCCATTCAACCAACGCCCCATCATCGAACCAATATGGCTCTATCCAACCAATGCTACTCCATTCAATCAGTGCCCCTCCATCTAACAAATACTCCCGCAAATAATCAGTACTCCTCCATCCAATCAAAATAACTTCATCTATCAACACTTTCCATACACCCAATACTCCCCCATCTGATCAATGCTCTTCCATCCAACCAATACTCCGCCATCGATCCACTGTCCCTCCATCCCTTCAGTGGCCCTGCCTCCAGCCCACGGTCTCCCGGCCCTGCCCCTTGAGCAGCTTGGAGGCAGACCCACATCTGTCCTGTGTGCTGTCACCTCCCTGGTGCTCTTTAGGGCAGGGAGGTGTCTCACAATTGCATCGAATGAAGGAAAATACATTGTTTCCGTGATTCCCACTCTAGGGCTACATTGGGAAAGCACTCCCAGGGAAAACACACAGACAAAGCGGAGGGCTGCCCAGTGTAACCCTCTGATGTGTCCACGGTGGCCATCCACTGAGGTAATCCTGGTGCCTTGCCTCCTCTGCAGACCTCTGGCCGGACCCCCAAGCTAGCCCGCCAGGCCTCCATAGAGCTGCCCAGCATGGCTGTGGCCAGTACCAAGAGTCTGTGGGAGACCGGTGAGGTACAGGCTCAGTCTGCGGCCAAGACACCATCCTGCAAGGTAAGGGCCCCTCCAGGAGTAAGGCTGGGTTGCAGAGCCAGCGCCTGGGAGTTTAGCAGCAGGCCAGGATTCCTTGTTAAGGCAAGCGTGGGACTGTCCAGGAGGCAGTGTGGGTAGACAGAACACCGGGGCGTCGTGCTTGGTGGGGTCACCCTTGCTGGTGCTGATGGCTGTGCTGGCCGAGTGGGGGTGGATGGCACGTTTATTCCTTTCCCTGCCTCTTCCACTGGGATCGCACAGAAAAAGGTACATAGGCAGGTCTCAGGCCCCCCGGCCAGGTAAGGCAAGGTAGGAGAGAAGGGCTCAGGGCTTCTATTCCCTGAGATCCAGGGGTCTGCCCTTGTGACATGTCCTGCTGCTGCCCCCAGGATATTGTGGCTGGTGATATGAGCAAGAAAAGCCTCTGGGAGCAGAAGGGAGGCTCCAAGACCTCGTCAACAATTAAGGTAGAGCCTACATGTGGTTGGTGCAGGCAGGGTGGGTGCCGCAGGGCAGGGCAAAGAGGGGCTGTCCTCTGTGCATCTGGGAGGGCTTTCCAGAGGCGGAGGCAGCCTCATCTCCCTTCTGTTGCTCTCGCCTTCACTCCTGGTCTCCTTCCCCAACAGAGCACCCCATCTGGGAAGAGGTATAAGTTTGTGGCCACTGGGCATGGGAAGTATGAGAAGGTGCTTGTGGAGGGGGGCCCAGCGCCCTAGGCCTCCCATCTTGGTGAGTCCCCGGCAACCCGCGGAGCAGAATGAGGCACACATGTGTATCGTGCTGGGAACGTGGCGACCTGGAGGGGGCCTGGACTCCTACTGCAGGCTGCAAGGGTGGGCTCCGAGTTCGCCAGAACCCAGACCAGCTCTGTCTCCCAGCCCTGTGCAGACACTGCCTCCCTCACCCGACGCCAGATTCAAACTCTCTGTTCGCTTCACCAGAGTCAGCCCGGCTCAGCCACTGTTCCACCAGGGAAGCTCAAGGCTCCCTTCTGGGACTCCCCAAAAACCCCAGCAGGGCTCATGATGGACGTGAGGGGCAGCCTGGCCACTGCAGGGCTAGCACTGAAGGAAGTGGGTAGCACGGAGCCCCTGGAGCTCGGGTTCCCGCCCATCTGTGTGCTGGGCGTCCTTAGAGGGGCAGAAACTTAGGGCCTCCTCCCTGTGCCAGCCGAGGGCCATTCAGGGATCTAGATGCCCTCCCCCTCTTATGCTGCAGACAGAGCAGGGCCACTCCTGCCATGGTGAGACACACATTTATTAGTGAACCGGGGCCCGGGCTCCATTTCCAGCACCCATCCCACCCAGGGTGGGGCAGCTGGCCTCCTACCATCTTTCCCTGCTAAACTCCGACTCTCAAGCAGACTTTTTCTGGTACCTCTGAGTCCTTCTCCTGTGGCTGGCAACACCCCCAGAGCCTGGCTCACTGCCTACTGGGGCCCTCCACTGTCCCGACCAGGGCCACAGCCCCTTCTCAGCCCCACTTGGCCAAGCTGCTCTCGCAAGGCTGGGACTGAGGGCCCCCTCCTCCTCCAGCTATCAAAGCCTGGGCATGGCCGATGCTGAGACCCTCTCTCCCACCAGCAAGCCCCTTGAGTTCTGCCCCCTCAGGCTGTCAGTCCAGGGGGGAAGCCGAGGTGGACCGTGAGAGGAGAAACGCTGGGCCTCCTCCACGCCTGATGAGCCCCTCCCTGCCTGCCCGGAGCACTTTGTATCGGTGCCAAGTCCCACGCTGGCTGGGGGCTCCCCCCTGCACCCCAGTCCCAGGGTCTGGCTCTGCTATCAGGAAGTGCAGGCAAGAAAACTGCTGACTCTGCTCCTGGCGCCGATGGCCCAGCCTGACCACGCCTACGCCTCAGCAAGCAGAGATCTGCCCCCAAACCTTTGACAGCAAAAGGGAGGAAAAATGTGAGGCCCAGGGGCCCCCGAGGAGCCTGGGCTCGGTCAGCAGATGCAATGCTCTGCTATCTTACCTGAACTTTTCACCCCAAGGCCCCACCCCACATCCCAGCAGACCCCTTCTCTGTTCCCCGCAGCACTGCAGCCCAGGGGCCCCGGCTCGCCCTCTCTGCCCCGTCCACCTACCACCCTCTTACATCCAGACTTCCCTCAGCACCCGTGTGCCCTCCTCAGGCTGCCCTGCACCCATGCTCCTCGGGCCCTGGCACATTCTCATGCAGCTGTGGGCCCCCAGCTCGGGCCTCAGCCCCCTCTTCTGTACCCTCCGTGGTCCTGGGCCCTGGGAGCCGTTCTGGCCACTTCACGGGAGCCTCCAGCCGGTTGCCGTGCGGTTGAAGTTCTTGGGTTGGGGGTTCAGCTCCAGGATGGAGCGGACTGTGGGAGGGGGCCGGGCAGCTTCGTGCAGCTTCCGGGCGTTGAATCGAGGCCGGTACAGGAAGGGCAGGCGGGTGAGGCCGGCCGGGGTGCGCTCCCCACCGCTGGGCCCTGCAAGGCGCCCTCCAGCCTCCGCCACCGACATGCGGTACAGCACGGCATCCCACATCCTGGAGGCCAGGGAGGCGGGGGCCTGGGCGGTGGGGGCCCAGGACACCTCCTGCTCCGTGGGAGCAGGCGCCTCTGGCTCTAGGCTCTGCTGTGGCCCCGGGCGCAGAGGCCCCTCGGCCTCCTCCAGCAGCTGCTTCTTAAGCCACGTCCAGCCACTGAGCCGGGGCTTGGGCGCAACTTTGGGGATGGGGCATGGGTGAGGGCCTGATGGTGGTGCAGGGCATGAGGCCCTGGTGGGGCTGGACACCCACTCGGCCTCAGGGGTGGGACCAGCCCCCGGGGGCTCCTCCAGCTGCTCTCCGCCAGGGGCCACGGGGGCCAGGCTGCGCCTTGAGGGCTCCAGTGCTCGGCAGGTCGGGGCTATGGGCACCACAACCCTGGCACTCGCCTCTCTGGGCACCGAGGCCTGGAAGCCAGATGGCAGCCGGGGTACAAGGGGCTCCTCAGGCGAGGCTCTGGCAGCCTGGGCTGCGGTGGGCAGCGGGCGGATATGAGCCACTGGGACTGGGCCCTGGGCTCTGGGGGGACATGGGGCTTTGTCTCCGTCCCGGCTGTGGGATCCCCCTTCTGGGTCTGTCTTGGGGGGCTCCTGGGTCCCATCATGTGGGGATGGCGCCAGCCGGATGTGCACCTGGGTGATGTGGGTGCCCCCAGCCACTGGGGCTGAGACAGGGACGAAGCCACTGGGGGGCCGGGCAGGTTCTGGGGCCGGGGCTGCAACCTGGGACCCCGTGGCCTTGAAGTGAGCAGCTAGAATCCTGTGCTGGGTGAGGCTGAAGGAGAAGGTGGACTTCTGCAGGGGTGACGCCACGTGGTGGATGATGGAGGTGTGCGGAGAGTGGGGTGGGGCAGCCACCGTGCGGGGCGGCTCGGCGTGGCTCTGGGCTTCAGGAGGGCTCAGGGCTTCGGCGGGATGCGGGCTCTCCACAGCGTGCGGGGCTGCAGCCTCCTGGTCATGGCTGGCCTCACTCACGGGGGACAGGGAGGTGCGGAAGGCCCCAGGGGGGGTGAGGTGCACGCTCCCTGTCATCCTTCTCCGGGTCGCCTTCCTCAGGAGCTTCTGCAGACGAAGGTTGTCCTTCCCTGGCTTAGGCAGCAGGGGCGGTGGGGGTCCAGGGGTCCCCCGGACACTCGGGCCACCCACCTCGGGTGCCATCGACGAAGCTGAGATAAGCATGGCTGTGTCCTGGGGTGAAAGGGACAGCAGTCAGGCCAGCCCTCCTCCCTCCCAAGGGGGGAGGCCTATGTCTCGTGTGGTCCAGGGAGACCCTGGGCCCAGAGTGTGGAGACCTGAGCATTCTGCTTCCTGTGCACCCAGAACCTGCCGGGGGCGTCCTGAGCTTGACTGCGTCTAGGGGACTTTGGGGCAGCCCCACCATCACGCGAATGTAGAAATGAGGCACCCAGTTCCTCGAAGGACAGGGCTGGGCCCTGCCTCGGGGCTCCGTCCTGCCTGTCACCCTGGCACAAAGCAGCCTGGGTCAGGCCACAGTGCCGCGTGGGCTGGGGTGGGAGACTCGGGGGAGCCCTGAGTGAGAGGCGTGCCCCTGGCCAGCTGCCGGCCGGGCCCAGGGCTGGAAGAGCGGCTGCCCGCAGACACGTGAGGGGCGCCCCGCCGTCTCCGGCCCGACCACAGGCGCGTCCGCTGCGAGCCAGCGGTGAGGGGTGGCGGCCAAGAGGCTCGGGAAAGCTGAGGCTGCATCATCAGAGGTAGATCGGCCGGAAGGTGGGAGCAGTTTTCGCTGAGCTATGCTAAATGGGATATTCCCGCAGACCTCCTGGCTGGGGTGGTCCGGCCAAGCCGCCCACCCTGGTTTCTGGGCGCCACGTGTTTGCAGGGACATTGACAAATGGCATCTGGGCCGAGCCAGAGGCTGTCTGGTTTGGGGAAGGAGGGAGGCCTGGGGGCTGCTGCTGGGGCTGGCTCTGCAGGCACAGAGCTGCTGGAGGGGTGGGGGCAGAAGGAGCCTGCCCAGGACTTGCTCTCAGCTGCTGGCCGCCTCCGGACAACAGGACTGCAGGAACCACGGGAACCCCAATTCTAGCTCCCGGGGTGGGCAGGCTGGCTGGCAGGCAGGACCGCCTTCCCTCCACCTGGAGTCAGGTCTCCAGTGAGAGGCCCTGACCCAGGGCAGAAGGGCTCACCCTGGGAAGCAGGCCTCTGAGGCAGGGAGTCTTCTCCCGTGGTGGAGAGGGGTTGCGGGCAGACAGAGGCTTGAGGGGGAAGGCTCTGTGGGGTGCAGGAGGCAGGTCTGCAGCCCCTCCCTGGACCCAAGCCTAACGCTCCCTGCACCCCATGCCTATGTTCCAGCTTCCTGGGTCTGCAGGTCCAGCCGGGTGGCACCCTCCATGTACTCAGGGGAGATTCCAGCCAGACACCCGCCCTCTGCCCTGGCTAAGAAGTCGCTTCCTGTTACCAGCATGGCCTAGCCTCGCCTCTTTGACGCCCCCTGCTGCCACCTCCTTCTGCTCCTGGACCCTCCAGCCTCCCTGCTCTTCCACTCTCTGCCCCACCACCACCCCCCCCCCCGCCTGCCCTGCACCCACCCAGCTCTGCTTCTCATTACTTGGGGGAGGAAAGACACTCCTGCTCATTGGCCAAAGGGACTTACCCCTGGAGAGGCCAGGTGCCTTCTAGGAAGGTAAAAGGTTGAGTCACAGCCTGTGCAGAGAGGGCAGGTCACCCCCCAGATCCGAGGGGAAACCAGATCAAGAGCTGACTGCGGCCGTGCCGGAGGCTTGAGGGTGAGGCCCCCCACTCTTTGCTTGCTGCCCCCCACACCGCCATTTGTGAAATAAAGCTCCCTGTGTATTCCCGTGTGCTGGCTGTCTTGTACTCACTGAGGGGGCAGGGCTGGCCAGGATGGAAAGGCTGGGCCAGTGGCCAGCCTGTCCCCACATGGCAGAGCAGATTGTGACCTCTGGGTTCAGGCAGTCTGACCCGGCTCATGGCCTTTGCAGTGTGAGGCTCCAGGACACAAGTTCTGTGGCGGCCCACAGTGGGCAGGGTCCAGGCTTCCTTTTCCAGAATGTCTGTGACATCCTACCCCCACCATGACTAGCCCAATACAAACTTCTGTGCCCTGACTGTGCACCCACGGAAGGCAAGAGCCACCTCTGGGGCCTCCCCCAACACCACCCAGGAGGCGCTCAGTGAAGGTTTGGTAAACAGACAAATGGGTGGATGGGTGGGTGGGGGAATGGGTGGGTAGGTGGGTGGATGAATGGACGGATGAGTGGATGGATAGGTGGGTGGATGGATGGGTAGGTGGGTGGATGAATGGATGGATGAGTGGATGGATAGGTGGGTGGATGGATGGGTAGGTGGGTGGATGAATGGATGGATGAGTGGATGGATAGGTGGGTGGATGGATGGGTAGGTGGGTGGATGAATGGATGGATGAGTGGATGGATAGGTGGGTGGATGGATGGGTAGGTGGGTGGATGAATGGATGGATGAGTGGATGGATAGGTGGGTAAATGGATGGGTAGGTGGGTGAGTGGATGAATGGTTGGGTGGGTGAGTGAAGGGATGGATGAGTGGATGAATAGGGGATGGACGAGTGGATAGAGGGACGTATGGATGAGTGAATGTGGGCTGGTGGATGGGTGGATAAGTGGGTGAATAGGTGGGTGAATGGATGGGTGGGCAGAAGGATGGATGGATAGATGGATGGATTAGTGAATGGATAGGTGGATAAATGAATGGAGGGATGGGTGAGTGGATGGGTAGATGGATGGATGAATAGAGAGAAGGAGAGAGGGCTGGAGGGAGGGATAGAGGGAGGGATTAGTGAGTGAATGGGCAGGCAGGTGGGTGAATGGATGGATGGATGAATGGTTGGATGAAAGTAAGGAGGGATAAATGAAGGGATGGGTAGGTGGTTGGATGGATGGATAGGTGAATGGGTGAATGGGGATGGATGTGTGGATAGGTAGATGAATGGGTGGATGATGGTATGGATGACAGACAGGTGACTGAGTGAATGGGTAGGTGGGTGAATGGAGGGATGGATGAGTGGATAGGTAGGTGAATGGATTGATGAAGGGATGAATGGATGTTAGGTGAGTGAATGGATAGATGGATGGATGGAGGGATGGATGAGTGGATGGTAGATGGATGGATGAAGAGATGGATGGATGGTTAGATGAAGGATGGATGGATGGATGGGTGGAGGGATGGCTGAATGGAGGGATAGATGAGTGGATGGGTAGGTGAATGGATGGATGAAGAGATGGATGGATAGGTGGGTGGAATAATGGATGAATGGATGGATAGATGAAGGATGAATAGATGGGTGGAGGGAGGGATGAACAGAGGGATAGATGAGTAGATGGTAGATGGGTGGATGGATGGATGAAGGGATGGACAGCCAGAGGGATGGCTGATGGAAGAGAAGGAGGAAGGAAAGGAAGTGGTGAAAGTGAGTGAATGTGTGGGAATGAATAGATGGGTGGATGAATGGACAACTGTGTGAAATAGCAGACAGCCTGGGGACATCCTCCCTCCTCCTCCTCTCCCACCTCTCCCAGGTCCTGCACTGGGGCCTGACACTCAGCCCGGCAGCCCTCAGTGTCTGGGAAGCCCCTGTGAGGAGCAGGCCCCTACCTCTGATGTCCTGGACTTCACTGCCATTCCCTCAGCTCCTCAGAGCCACTATTTTCTGAAGGCTGCATGTCAAATCCTGCTTGCCTCATGAATACACACAGTCCAGAAAAGTGAAGCCTCAGCAGAGCCACCACCCACGCAAGGGAGGTGACATGCCCCTATCCTTTCTCAGATGCCCCGGCCACTGAGAGAGCATCGAGGCCACCCTACCCTGCTGGGTAGCCACCTGGTGACTGTACTCCCTTCCTTTCCCACCCGATCTGGAGGGGACGGTGACCAAAGGCAGCTGGCAGAGGCTGACACCTGACACCCTGTGAGCCCCGCTACAGGCTCCTAGGCCAGCCCCGCACAGAAGATGCTCACCATGTCTGCAGAACGAGTCAATGACTCCGCAAAATCCAAAGCACCAGGCCTGTGGGGAGGCAGCTACCTGGGGTTGGAGCAGCTCAGTCCCCAAGCGCTGTGTCAGCTGCTCCAATGCTGGGCCTGGCAGTGCTGAGCCCACAGCTGGGCCGGGCGGCCTCAGGCTGGAACCAGCTTGGGCTCAGGTCAGTTCAGGGCACCAGGAGACGCTCGGGACCCTCTCGGTCTCCACCCCCGCCCCCCAACCACGGGCACTGGGTACCGGGACCTAGATGGAGGGGCCCTGGCCCAGTCTCCACCATTAGGCGTCACCCAGGCAGGGAGCTGGAGCCAGGACACTGAGAAGGCCGTCCCTCCCACAGCCTGCTCCCCAATCCCTGGGCTTGACTCAGCATTCACCAATTTCAGAACACCCCCCTCACTCCCCACATCTGCCCTGGGCCCAGCGCCCCGTGGTCCATCCTCAGACTCCTCCTGGGTGGAAGTGGGTCCCCACGCCACCCTGGCTGGGCCTCCCTTGTGCCATGCCCCCACCCAGGTCTGCAGTGGCCTCAGGAGGCCCCTGTCCTGCCTCTTCTCCTCGGACCACCCAGGTCAGGCCAGATGGCAGCAGGGTGCGGTTACCTGGTGCAGGCCCTCGTGGCTGCTGGTGCCTGCTCTGTGCAGTCCCTGCTACGCCTCAGGCTCGTGCCCTGAGCAGGAGGTCGCCGATACCCAAAATAAAACCTGCCCTGTCCCTCTGACCTCAGCGGGCTGGGAGGAGAGCGCCTGCCAAAGCCAGAGGAGCTGGGCGGGCAGCACCCTCCCCTGCTGGCCACACAGGGCCAGTGCAGGGCCATGGCACACCCACCTGCAGGTGTGTCCCTCAGGACCCCTGGCCTGGGCAGGGCTTGGGTGGACACTGGCTTCCCAGGCCAAGCTCTAGTGAAGCCTGCAGACTCAGCCACGTGTAACCACAACGGTGGGCTCCGGGTTCTTTAAGAGGAGCCAGCCTAGAAAGGAGGTTGGCCCCACCATGGGAGAGGACAGGGTGGGCCGGCGACCCCCAGGGGCCCGCTCAGGTGCCTCTGAAGGAGCAGCTCTGCAGACATCCCCATTGGGCAGAAAGCTGGTCACAGATGTCCAGGGACCAGGGCTGTACGTGGCCCCCCAAAGGCTTGCCCACGAGGACACGGGTGGGGAGGGGAAGGCGTGCAGTGCGGAGGAAGCCACAGACTCCGAGCAGGAGAACAGGGATATTCCCAGCAACTCCAGCTCCAAGAGTCTTCCCAGCTGCCAGCACAAAGCGGGAGGCAGCCAGGGCCCAGGCTCTCTCCTTTGAGCCAGCAGCCTGGGACCATCCCGCCTTGTGATGTGACCTCAGGCACACCCTGCCTGTCCCCAGGCTCTGCGGCCTTGCTATTCCATGGAGGGGTTGACGAGGCGCCACCCAAGGCCTTCCGGAAGCCCCGACCCAGCCCCCGGCACTGTGAGCCCCGGCCGCGTTGTCCGGATGTCCCCGACTCCAAGCCCGGGGAGAACAGGGACCTCATCTGCACCTCTTGGGGCTCACCCCTGTCCTGGGCGCCAGCCAAAAAGGAACCAACCTTGCCTGAACCTGTCAGTTCCACAGACACCACCAGCCATGCCCAGCCTGTGGGGTCTGGCCAGAGTGAGGGGTGAGTCAGGTGCCAGACCGCTCTCCCCAACTTGGTACCTCAGTTTCCCTGATCCAAGAGGCAGGGCCATCCAAGCTGGTGGCCTCACTGGCCAGCAGAGGGGCCAGCGGAGGCCAGGAAGGGTGTCTGCCGATCGGACGGTGCCACCTGGAGTCCTGAGGAAAGAAAGCTAGTCTCCGAGCCACGCTGTGCCTTCAAGACATGGTGGCACTGACAGTAAAGGCCACCATAAGTGCCCAGGGCCCTGGGGCCCCAGTGTGAGACAGGACCTGGAGAGAGGGCCCAGACCCTCACCCAGTGAGCTCTAGGGCCAGCCCCCTCCAATAGCACCAGCCCCAGGGAGAATAGCAGACTCGGGGTGCGGCCAGCCTGGCTATGTCTCTCGCCCACTTGCTGTGGGAGCTCCAACGGCATCCCCCCGGGGAGGCAGAGCTGGCCTCTAAGGGGGTGTCGATGGGAGCCTGGCTTCAGTTCCATGGGGGTCTCCTAGACCTTGGGCTGCTTCCTCCCCTGGGGGAGGCAGGAGGGACCTGGGGCAATGGCGGGAGGGAATCCGGGCTGCACAGACCCTTTTCCTGGACAAAATGTTTCCTCCCACAGGACATCTCAGAGAGATGGGGCAGGTGGACTGGGAAACTAGTGGGGGCCCGGCTCTGGTGACCCCCACACTAGTTTGGCCCAGAGACAGCCCTCCGCTTTGTGCCCTAGGGCTCCCCAGCACCCTCCTCCCCTCCTCAGCCCATCAAGAATGTGCCCACTGCTGGGGGTAAAAATAGAAGCTGGCAGCTCCTAGAAGTGGAGGGAGGGCCTTGCCTCCTTCTCCAAGCACGTCCTCAGCATCCTGGCCTCCTTCAGCCTCCTCCTCTGGTCATTCCTATACTTGGTAAGGGGCCTGCATGGGCACAGCACCCACCACCCCCGCCCCCGGCGACTCCCCACACACCCCAGCCACCCAGCTACTGGCCAATGGGCGTCTGGGAAGATCAAATGTCACTATAACACGAGTCCCGGAGCCGGGCGCCAGTGCCTGCAGCCGGTCCTGTCCACAGGGAGCTCCAGCCCTTCTTACACGAGACCCGCAGGTGGGTACGGGCAGGAGCAGCTGCCTAGGGCTGGGGCCGAGGGGGCCAACAAGACCTCCCGTGTGGGGGTGGATGGCCCCTCGTTTCGGGGACACTCTGGGGTCCTGGGGTGCCGAGGTCCCGGGCTCATGCAGTGCCAAGCATCTCAACTTGAAGCCCCATGGCTCAGAGCCCCCAAGCAGCTGCTTCGGAGCCCGGAGAGTCTGGGGTGTGGACACCGTGGTGTGACCGTCTCAGCACCAGGAGAATGCAGAGGAAGGCGGGACGTGGAGGCTGGGAGGGAGGAAGTCGGGGCTCAGGGAAGCCCAGTGTGAGGGAACAGCCCGAAGTCACAAGGCAGAGAGGCGCAGGGTGTGAGCATCTGGGCAGAGGCGGAGCAGGGGAGCTGCCAGGGCTCAGGCCGACGGCTTGCGGCCGCCACGCGGACATTCGCCCGGCCCGTCCTGGCCTTCCGTGCTGCTCGCGAAGCTTGGGCCTCCAGCACCACCATTTTGTAGAGACGAAAACAGGAGAAGGAGGGCAGGGGCTCATGGAAGGCCACACCAGGAGTGCGTCGGATTGGGGGCATCTAAAGCCCATGCCGCCTTGGGGGCCGGTGTCTGGAGGTGCAGGACAGAACGGACAGGGCCTCGGCAGAGGTGAGGGGCGAGGGGCTGGGCCGCATCTTGTCCCTGGCTGGAGGCTGGGGGAGCAGGCGCTCGAAAGAGGCCCTGCCCACCCTCCCTGCCCTGGACACGGCCTCCCTGACTTGTGCCGTCTGATCAGGGCTTGGCCGCCCCTCCCGAAGTCCATGGAGAACATGGGGCAAAGCAAAGATTGGCCGGATGGACACCAGGTCTGGGAGCATGGTGGGGGCCACAGCAACGGAGGGGCAGGCTCTCTCCCCACCCTGCCCTGGCCCCGTCACCTCCGAGGGAGGGAAGGGTGACGCATGCACCGCAGGGATCTGACTCGCACAGGCTATTTTCACGCGGCCCCTCTGAGACAGGCACTAACCACACACCTGCTTTGCTCCTCAGCTGCTGAAATGCCACCCTCTGCCCCCAGCACACCCCCGACACCAGCCCCTCCCAACCACAGAGGCGGCGACACAGGCCACACTGAGGGAAACAGAGCTCAGCAGAAAAGCAGGTGCCTCAGTTTCCCCACTTGGAGAGTGGGCCTTTGCTACCTCACAAAGGGGGGCCTTGAGGTCACTCTGCCTGGGAGTGTTGGAGCACCCATGTGACTCTGGCCCGGGGCACAGGAGGGGAATATGAGGAGCTGGGGAGGGCCTGGGTGCCCGAGGGCAGAGGGGGCCGCTGTGGGCCAAGGAGGGCCAGGCTCTCACACCCGACTCACCCACGTCTTGGGTTTCTGGGCAGAGATGTCTTGCCTATTTCTGGACACCTCAGCTGCCACTGGCTCCTTATAAATAACCCACCCCAGGCAAGGGCAGAGCCGCCCCCATCTTGCAGTGGCCAACAGGTGTCAGCCCAGTCAGGGTCGGGGTGGGTACAGCAGGGCAGGGCCAGGCTTCGCTCCCCTCCTTCGATGACTCTCCTCCCTACAGAAGGTGGCCCTGGAGGAGGCTGTGGGACTTGGGGCCTGAGCCAGCTGGGAGGACAGCATCAAGGGTGAAGCGAAGCCCGAGGGGCCAGTGAGTGGCCTGGGGGGAGGGGGTCACACTGGGGGCCTGGGCAACTCTGGCTGGTGGGACTGAGCCCGGCCCAGCTGGGGCAGTTACACGAAGCTGAACTTCGGGGGCAGCAGAGTCTCAGGAAGAGATTCTGGGATAGGAAAAAGCCGCCCCCATCGCCTGGAAGATAGCTATCTGCTGGTTAATTTCGCATGGAGCTTAAGTTGCTCTGGGAAAATTAACATTCTTGACCGAGGGTTTGGAAAACGGTTCCCACCTCAGCGATGCAACGTGGATGCATTTTTAGCTGATGAACGTGTGTTTTTCTTATACAGCACTCCCAAGGGGGGCCGTAACTATTGTCTTCCAGTGATCTGTGCTGTGTTGTCATGAACTTTGTTTCTAAAACCCCGGCCAACACGGCGCAGCTGCTCGGCGTCTCCCCAGGCCCGGCCGCCCGGTGTGCATGGTGGCCAGCTCACACAGAAACGGTCCCCAGCTCGCTGGCCTGGGACCACCGCCGCACACGGACAGGGTGGTCAGTCCCGGGCACGGAGCTTTCCCTAGGCAGAGGCAGATCCAGCGTACGCCCAGGGCCGAGGAAAGGGGCCACAGGGAGGGAAAGGGTGGGGGGCTGCTGCAGTCCAAGTGTGCCTGGCACAGAGCCTGGCTCAGGGTACGCACGGGAAACAGCCCAGGCCCAACTCAACGCACTCCAGGGCACAGTGTCTTCAGGAGACAGAACAGCTTTCCTGCTCCGTGATCAGGAGGGGTCCTCAGAGGGGTGTGGGGGGCACCCCAGAGGAAAACAGGCACAGAAGGGAACTTTGGGCTCAAACAGGGAAGAGGGGTTCTCACAGGGAACGGTAGGGTGAGCAGACTCCCCATCTCGGGGAGCCAGCCTTGGTCACCCAGGGGCTCCTGATGAAACCCACCTACACCCGCTGGGCAGAGAACATCCAGAGACAGGTTTCAGCCACATCAGCAAGATTTTCCTGTGTCCAGAGTGGGTTGGACGGCATACGCCCTGCATTCTGGATGACCCCCCTCAGGGGACGCTGCAGAGAGGATGTCTGCCTCGGGTGGGGTGGACGCCACGGCCTTCCAACAGCCCGTCCAGCTCCAAGATTCCAAGCTCCAGGCTGGAGCCAGGGCTGGAAGAGGGGACAGAGTCAGGGACGCCAAGTCTGGGAGGGGCTGGGAGCCCTGGGGGAAGGGGGGCCCAAGGAGGTAGACTGCCCAAGGCCAGAGCTGGCCCCCAAACCCTGCCTGCAGTCCCCCCACAGCACTGCTCTGAGGGCCCATCCCCTGCCCTCCGCCCAGGCAGCTCCTCACTCTCTTTCCACCCTTTCTCTCTCAATCTCTCTCTGCAGACAAAACCCACCTTCACCATGTCTGACGAGGAAGTGTGAGTACCCAGCTGGAGGCCGACCCCCACCCCCCGGGCCCTTGGCTTGGAGGGGCTGGAGAATACGCTAACGTTTGCACAAATGCAGCCTCACCACCTCTCTCTCTCTCTCTCTCTCTCTCTCTCTCTCCCCTCCTGCCCCACAGTGAACAGGTGGAGGGTAAGTGTGACGGCCATTCTCGTTCTCCTCCCTGCTCTAGACCGAAGGGTCACACGTGGGCGGGGGCTGGGCTGTGTATACCATGGGTCCCCTTGGCAGCAGAGATCGGCTGCATCCCATGGATGGCTTCTGAGCAACCCCCGGAAAATAGCTGTCTGAGTGGGGGCCTCGTCTCTTCCCTGAAGCGTAGCCACAGGGTCCTGAGGGGCCTGCAGGGACGTGTCCGGCTCTGGGTCCTATCTCCGCCTCTCTCACACCCAGTGTGGTACGTGGGCATCCAGGATCCCTGAGCCCCCCGAAAGCGACCACCATCACCAGAGCCTCTGCCTTCCCCAGCGCCTTCACTGGGGCCGAGGACCCCCGATTGCCTACCACTGGCCAGGGGGAATCGCTGGTCTGTCTAGAGCCGGGACACACGGGCTCCTCACGCCCCTGCTCCCCTCACGGGTGGCCCTGTCTAACGTGGCCCCCTTTTTTGTTCTGTCCCAACGCAGAGCAGTACGAAGAAGAAGGTAACTTCTGGCAAGGGCCGGAAGCCCCCCAGCCCCTCCTTAACCCCCCTCTCCCGTGTGACACTCACAGAAACCCCCTCCCCGGGCTGCTCCAGGCCGCCTCTAGCTTATCAATCCACCGTCCATCCTCCTCATCATTAACGATTCATCATTAATGACTGATGAATGAGGCTATCACTTAATTAATGATGAATGACAGTCATGAGATCATCACTAACCCCATCTCTTTAGTGGATTGATTTACACTCGTGGTCCTTCATTAATCCCTCATCCTCCGTGTGCCATGGTGTGGGGGGCTCCGGGGGCTGCTCATGAAGGCCTCACTCTCATTAACACCAAGCGCCCTACCACGCCCAGCGCTGCGTCTCTCAGCATCTCATGTCTCTCCAGTTCCCTTCTGCGTCTCTCCTGGCACCCTCGTCTCTCTGTGTGCCGGTGTCTCTCTCAGCTTCTCTCTGTCTGTATCTCTCAGCCTCTTGGTCTCTGTCTCTCCCTGCCTCTGTCTCTCAGTCTCTGTCCCTCTCGGCCTCTCTGTCCCCATTTCTCCACCCCCATCTCCATCTCTGTCTCTGTCTCCATCTCTCCATACACCCCCTACCCTGTGCCGTAACCCTGGGTGGAGCCTGGAGCCCCCTCCCTGGGCTGGCCAGGTGTGGTCTGTGGGTGTCTCCATCATGCCTGGGCAGGCGTGGGCGGGTGTGGGCGCACCTGGGAACCGTGCGGGGAGGCGGTTCTCAGGCCGACGGCACTGCCCCAGAATCCCTGGCACCCACTCAACCGGGGAGCAGCTTCACGCAACCCTAACAGGCTGGGCCGTCCCGTGAGGAGTCTTGAGTGCTATGTTTTGAAAATATTTTGAAAACACTTGGCTACCCTAACAACGTGAGCAAAACGTTTCTTTCTCTGCCGAAAAGGTGGAAAGCCTCATTTCCACGAGGGACATGTGGCCCTGGAGAGCCTTCTTTTCCCTTGGGGCAGCCACGTGGCAGGCCAGGAGGCCACAGAAGGGTCTTCTTGTGGCACGTCCCGGAAGACCCCTCAGTGCCAGCCTCAGTTGCAGGGGCGCTCAGAGCTGGGCCTCACGCAGGCCTGTGGGTCTTGTCCCCATCCTTACTTGTGTCATCTGCAGAGCAGGACTTAGCAAGGGCCTCTGTGCACAAACGCCTCCGGGCATGGGAATACAGGACCCCAGGAGGGAGGCGAGGCCTCAGAACCCCCCGGGCTGGGCTCAGCCTAGCTGACGGTGACCAGCTCAGTTGGTGGGAGTCCCCGCTTGCCAGGGCTAGCCAGAGATGAAAGACTGACCCCCATCCTTCACCCCAGCCAAGAGAGCTCCAGGCTGGCAGGCCTCCTGTCCCTGCAGCCCGAGTACGCTCCTCTAATGATTGTCTCTCTTCCCGCTCTCCCCCATCCCCACCTTCTCCTGCTCCCGGCTTCTCCGGCTCTCAGAGGAAGCCCAGGAGGAAGGTAAGTGGGGTCCAAGGCCCCGGCCCCCATGCCCATCCCCCAGCCTTCCTGTCCCACCCGACACTGACCCGCCTCTAAGGATTGCCGTGTATCCCTGTCTAACCCTCTCCTCTCTCCGCCTGCCACCTGCAACCCCGGCTCTCCTCAGCTGCAGAAGTCCATGAGGAAGGTATGAGGACCCAGGACTTCTGGTCCCCATGTGGGGCCCGGGGCCTGGCTGGAGCCTACATGGTGATAGGGGAGGGGTGGGGAAGCCACGAGGTGCCAGCCAGCCAAGAGGCCCCCACATGTGGCCCTAACATAATCCACTAACCACAGCCAATGCTTGACTAGAAAGGGCATGGGGCCTCAAGGGTGGGTCCCTTCCCCGCAGCCGCCCAGGTAGCAGGGCCAGGGACTCCCCAGGCAGGTGTGGGTAGGGCTGCTGGTCAGCAGGGCATCCCCAAGCATGGGGCAGAGGGGACGCCGCAGGGCCCACCCTAGCCCTCCACCCCATGGAGGGCAGCCCAGAGCCCGTGGTGGTGTCAACCCCTGGGCCTGGCCAGGACCCCCAGCCACATTTCAGGACAGCACAGGATGAGGGGAGAGAAGGCGGCTGGGGAAGAGCCCTACAGCCCAGCACGATCAGCTCCTCCGGGCTCATGCCTTCGCCAGTCCCCCAGACCCCATCACAGCCCTCTGCTGTGGGACCCTTGGGATTCACACAGGCTAGGGGTAGATGGGAGGGCTGGGGTCACATGCCCAGATCAGCAGGCAGAGCCATCAGTGTCACCTGGGGCTGCTAGCACCCTCGGAGGGTGGGGACAATCTGATCAGGCAAACAGCGAGTGGGTCCCCAGCTGTCGGGATGCCAGGAAGTGGGGTTCCTGGGGACACCTCCCACGGCCCATCTATGGCTCTGCCTCCCAGGGCTGCCAGCCATGCCATTGTGGGCCTCTGGTGCCACCCAGCCAGGCTACAACCTTGTGCATGGGCCTTGGTGCCCTGGCCAGAGGCGTGGACACCCTTCTGGGGGATCCCCAGGACACAGAGGGGATGGTGGTGAGCAGAGGAAGGCCCAGCCCCCGTGCCGAGCCTGCTCCACCAAGGGCGAGAGCCACAGCTCCCGGCCACCCTCCAAGCCTCAGTTTCCCCACCTGTGAGGCAGAGTATGTCGGGATGCAGAGAGCAGGGTTTGAGGACGTGGGACTGGGGCGGTGGCCGCACCTGGGCTAACTCCGACCCTGTCTTGCTCGCTCCCCGCACGCGACCGGGCTGCTTTTCCATTAACCTCGGACCCTCCTCCTTTGACCTCTGACCCGCGGTTTTGCCTCTTGTTCCGTGGCCTCCTTGGCCCGTGAAGTTCATGAGCCAGGTACGTGCATGACTTCAACGCCACATGGGCACCTGTGGCCACGTCGGGGGTGCAGGACCCCAGAAGGAACAAGAGGGGCCGCGTAGCCAGCACACCCCGGCCTGGCCTGCTCCCCGCGCCACCCGGCCCTGCCCTCCCCTGCTCTCCGCACCGCCCCTCTCACACTGGTTCTCTCTCCCTCCCACCCTCTCTGCCGGCCACGACGCTACTTCTGCAGAGGAAGTTCAGGAAGGTACGCCGCGCTCCCCAGACTCCAGAGCCCCCGTCCTCCCTTCCGTCCTCTCCCGCTTTCTCCCTTTCGCCCACCCCTTGTGATGTTCGCCACCAACAGCTTAGCCTACTCTGGCCTCTGGGCTGGGGACAGAGTGAGGCCCCTGGCTTAGGAGGGCCTGGCTAATGGGGTGAGGGCTTCCTCTGGGTCTCCCAGGCAAAGAGGATTTCGTAGCTTGGGGACGACAAGGCTCTTCCTGGGCCGCCAACAGGAAGGTGGGAGGTGGGGGTGGCCAGCCTTGAGGCCCAGGCAGAGCAGGCCTTGGGAGGACAGTGCTGGGGTCCACTGGGACCCTCCGGATCCACCAGGGTGCGGTGGGAAGAGCCCAGGAGGACAGGTCTCCACCCTGCTCCAGTTAGCAAGCCAGAAGTAGGAAGGTAGGGAGGGCTGAGGTGGAAGGGAGGGTGGAGGGGCAAGTGGAGCGAAGCAGAAAGGCAGGCTGAGGCCCAAGGTGGGGACGTGGGGACCCGGAACAGCCGGGGGCCATGCGTGCAAAGGCGCAGCCAGGTCCCGGCATCCCACCCATCGCCTGGGCCCAAGCCAGACACACCCGGTGTGAGAGGCCCCCTGGGTGGGCCTGCCCTCCCTGGCGGTGGGGCCGGCCGTACCCCTGGGCGGAGGTCAGAAAGCTGCAGATTCAGAGCAGGGGCCCCAGCTGGGAAGTGCTTCTCAGCACCGCCCCCCACCATTCTCAGCGGCTGTGGGGCTGAGGGGCTCCTCCCTGCTGGGCCTGAGTTCTGGCAGGACTCCAGCCTCAGAGAGGCCCCTGGACTAGGAGGGACATGCTGGGAGAGGGAAGGGGCTCCAGCCACACAGGAGAAGGTGTCCAGGAGATGTGGAGGTGACAGGAGCCCCGGGTCACTCTGGAGCCAGCACTGAGACAATCAGACAGACAGACGGACAGCGGAGGGGCGGCAGGAGCAGAGGAGTCAGGGTTGTTGGGACAGCTCTGCCACGTGGCCATGTGGTTGCTTCCCCCAGCGCTCAGCCTCCCACCTGACCTCGCCCTCCACCCTGGCTGGCCTCCCCACCCCGAGGGGCTCCTCAGGCAGGCGCTGCAGCCAGCAAAACCCCCAAATCAGGGATGTGGGGCCAGCAGCCCATCCATTGTCCTCATCATGCCATTCCTTCCGGGCCCTCAGCCAGGCTTCTGCGAGCAGGACGCCCCACCGCTCCCTCCCATGCACCCCCCTCCAAGGGGTCCGGAACGGGTGACTCAGGCCCACGTGCAAAACCAAGGGCGCCGCGGCTCCTCTGTGCTGTGCAGGGGGCTCCCGGGCCACCGAGGGGTCTACCATCAAGGAGGACTAGAGGTCCTCGAACCCCGGCCAGGTGCGGGCAAGGCAGGACCCCCACCCCCATCCCTGGGCCCAGGCCTGCTGGCCTCAGCCAAGTGCAGAGGACGGCGCCAGGTCAGACTCCGAGGGCCAAGGGCATCACACGTCGACGGCCTTGCTGCCGCCTAAGGCCCAGAGCATAGACTGAAGGGGCAGGGTGGGTGGGTGCCACCAGGCCAGCGGCAGACCCCCTCCCGGGCCCCAGCCGGGCCAGGCCAGCCAGGCAGACGGAGCTTGGGGATCCCAGAAGGGCCCGTCCCCGTCTTGGGAGAGTAGCCACGTGGCAGTCAGAGGGCAGGCCTCGGGGAGGTCGGGGTGAGCACGCCTGGGCCCCCGGCCTGTGGACATTCTGGACTCAGGGAGGGGCACCTAGAGCTGAGACCAGCCAGGAGTTAGACCTCATGCTGCTGGCAGAGGCTTCTGAGGCCTGAGGGCCTATAGTCACTCCATGCCCTGCTGAGTTCCACCCAGTAACACAGACTTCAAAGGCAGGGGTCAGGTGCCAGGAAGCGCCAAGCCAAGGGGCTGCACCCACCCAGCTGTAGTGCCCTCTTGTTGGGGAGGGTCTCAGATTCCAGACCCAAGAGGACAGGCTGGGGGGACAGATGAGACCCAGTGCCCTCAGCTTCCGGCCTTGCCCCGAGTGGTATTGGCGTCCCTCCTGCTCTCCACCAGGTCTTCAGGGCAGGGCTCCACTGGGCACCCAGCCCCTTCCATCCCTCCCCAGGCAGCGATTCACTGGCCCCACAGGCACACCCCGGGGAAGAGTGGGTCCGAGCAAGAGGGGTGGGCCCCGTGCCCACAGAGCCCGGCAGCCCCTTGCAGCCCCCCTCCCCGCAGACCCCTGCAGACCCCCGCAGACCCCCGCAGCCGCCCTGGCTTTCTCTTGCATGTGTGCTTGTGCCGTCTCGAAGACATCGCAGAGGAGGCTGCAGAAGGTGAGGGCCCACCCCGCTGCTGGGGGTGCAGGACCCTGGCTCTGGCCGACATGAGGAGAAGGACAGGCGGGCTCTCTCGCTGCCCTGCCTCCCTCTCCCTCTGTCCTTCCTCTTTCTCTTCCCCCGGCATGGGGGTCTCCGATGGCTAGGGCTTGCCGGCCCCGCTGCTCCGCAGGGTGCCGCCGGGTCGGGCTGCGGGGGTCTCAAGGGTGCCACCACTCCCAGCTTCTGCCACACAGCGGAGAGGAGTAAGCAGGACCAGCCAGCGGCGCCAGAGCCCAGGCAGGGCGCGCCCCACTCTCCTCTTTCTCCCGAGCCCCTTCCCTCCCAATCTGCGTCCCAAGCCCCTGTCCTCTGTCCTCTCTCTCCTCCCTTCGCAGCCTTCCGAGCTGCTGCCGGTCTCGCGCCTATATCGTCCCTTCCTCCCTGACCTCTTCCCCTCCGACCCCGCCACGGGCTTTTGCAGGCCTAGAGCAGAAACAGGGCCCTCTCGTTTCTGGGGGTTGGTGGGATCACAGCTGGAAAGGAGGATGGCCCTCAGCGCGGGGGAACCCAGGGCCGCAGGCTGCCTGTTCTCACCCTGGCTGTCTCTCTCCCTCCCCGACCCTGGTGCTGCACTGAACAGAGGAGAAGCCGAGACCCAAGTGAGTGTGGGGTCCTGGCGGGCCCGGCCAAGTGTGTTCTGGGGTGGGGCTGAGCGCGGGACACGGCCAGATGCCTGGAGCCTGCACTTGGAGGGATGGATGCTCAGGGCGCAGGGTGGGAGAGACCAGGGTCACCTGGGAGATGGACTTGGGAGGCCCAGCAGGGTCATCTGGTGCAGAGAAGGAGGGCTGCCTGCAGGAGGAGGCTACTGACAAGGAAGAACGGAGGAGAGGTGGGTGGGAGAGGGTTTAGGAAGGAAGGCGGGTGCTGGGGTGCAGGGAATCCGGCCACCACCACACCCCACGGCTTTTGGGGGACCGCGCCATCCCCAGTCATAGCACCTAGCTGCGAAAATCGACAGGAAAGTGAGTCGGGAAGTGGAAGAAAGAGGGGTCTCAGCCCAGAAACCCACTTCAGAGGGACCCCTCGACCATGGCCCAAACAGCCCGCTGTGCAGGGCCCCTGCTCCCCTCTGAGGCAGAATTCAGAGGACCGTGTCCGCATCGTGCCCGCGTGTGAGCACTTGGTGGACTGGTTTTTTTAATGCAGCCCTCCTGACTCTTCTGCCTTCGATCAGCACTCACAAGCCACAGCGCTCGCTGCGCGCGATTCACCTTTGTCTCAGCTGCCCTTGCCCCGGCCTTGCCGGCTTCGGCCTGGGGAGCCCTGCAGACTCTCTGGAGCGGAGTGAGGACACGTGAGGGCAGAGCCGGCACTTTTCCATCCTCTGCACTTTATTTTTCAGCAATTTTAAGTACAGTAATGCCTGATCACGAGATACTTTCTCATTTTAGAAAAATTGTTTGTGTTTTCATTATGAAAATAAAACACCTCATTAAAGAAAATTTGGAAAATACATAAAAGTCGAATGAAGAAAAAAAGTCATCTATAATTCTCCTACCCAGCCAGCCAGACTGTGGAAAAGAGCAGAGAGAAATAAAAAAGCCTGATTTCTTCCTTTTTTCCATGCATAGGGCTTGGAAAAAAAGATTTAAACTCTGTGCTGTTTTTCAAACATCATACTGTCTATACAGCCTTGAATTCTGCTTTTTTAAAATTTAGCACTATTCATAAGTATTTTTCCATGTTTTTACATAGTCTCCTTAAATATTTTGAATGGCCACATAATATTCCATCAATTGAACAAACCATAATTTTCCTAACCATTCCCCTCTTGCAGGCTTTCCCCAATATTTTACTATCATAAATAACGCTGCTTGGAAAGCGTTTTCTGTCTTTAGGGTTATTTCCGTAGGCTACATTCCCAGAACTGGAATTACTGGGTCAAAGAGTATGAATGTTCTTAAGGCTCTGGCAGCCAGGGCCAAATTGCTTTCCACAACGGCCTGGAGCGCTGTCTCCTACGTGGGATGTGAGCGGCTCCATACCCCACACCCTCCTCACCCCAGGACAGAAACGTGCTTTGACATCGCAGCCTCTGATGGATGGGAAATGGCATCTCATGGCCGTCTGGCTCCGCGCCCCCAGAGCCACTCGGGGCCAGCTTTTCCCTGTGTTTGTGGATGGGTCGTCTTTCTTCTCTGAGAATTAGTAGTTCTGCCCGTTGCTCATTAGCCGCGTGGTGGAGGCGTCTCTGTGTTTTCTTAATCATCAGTTTGCATAAGGATATAAGTCTCCTCTGTATTTGCTGAAAATATTTTTTTAGTCTGGTTTTTTATTTTTGGTGGGTTTTTTTTTTTTTTTTTTTTTTTTTTTTGCCTTTCCATCTTGCTTTTTTACTCACATACATAAGTTTTTCATTTGCGTGGAGTCATCTGGCCTTCTTTCCCTGAGAGGCACCTTCTGGTGCTTCTGAGCTTAGGAAACCCTTTCCCGCTCCAGTTTTTGATTGATATTTTAGTTCTACTTTCTTCTATCGTTTGTTAGAAAAAAATCGTTGTTGTTGTTTTAACTCTTTGCTGCATCTGGAATGTATTGCTGAGAGGAGCGGACCCCACACCCAGCCGGAGAGGGGGCCCCGCTTCCCCTCCAGATTGCATTCTTCCCTGCCCCTCTCCTCCCTTTGGACCCCCAGAGAGAAAGATGAAAGAGGGGCTGGGGAAAAAGAGGGGCTGGGGAAAGGCACAGGCTCCCAGCAGCTGTTCCTGCCACGGAGGCCACCGCCGCCCATGGTGGCCATAGCTTCTCACCTGACCTGGCTGTGTGTGTTTATCTGAGAAGGAAACGGAGGTGCCCTCCCTGGTAGCTGGGGTGCAGTGACACTTGCAATGGCCAGAAGCTGAAAGGGAGCTGGCAGCGCCGGAAGCTGATGCCTTCTTGAGGGGCTCAAGCCACACTCAGGATGGCGGGCTACAAACCTCGTAAGAATAAAGCTGGGGCAAACATGCCACTAGGCAGGGCATCCTCGCCTGGAGGCCAGGGCAGGAGGACACCAGGGCCAGCAGGGGCCAGGTGAGGGAAAGCACCAGGTCGACCCTCTGGGGTGGGTCCCCAGGTCTCTGCTCACAGGCCTCTCTGTTTCTCTTCAGACTCACTGCTCCTAAGATCCCAGAAGGGGAGAAGGTGGACTTCGATGTAAGTTTATAGGATGCTGGTCAACACGGCCACCATTTCCCCAAACCCCAGCTTTTGGGCTCCAGGCTAGGCCTCAGAAGGTCACTTTCCCCCAAGCAGCCAGAGCTGGGGCCTCCTGGGTCTGGGTAATTCTTCCATAACATATTCCTGGACCACAGGAAACCCCTCTAAAAATAAACATCTCTCTTCCCTTCTCCTCCATGTATCCTACCCATCCATCTATCCACCCATGTAGGCACCTACCCATTCACCTACCTATCCATACACTCACCCACGCATCCACCCAACCATTTATCCATCCATCCATCCACCCACGTAAGCACCTACCCATTGACCTACCTATCCATACACTCACCCACCCATCCACCCAACCATTTATCCATCCATCCATCCCTCCACCCACATAAGCACCTACCCATTCACCTACCCATCCATACACTCACCCACCCACCCATCCACCCATCCACCAACCATTTATCCATCCATTGATCCACCCACCTACCCACCCAACCACCCATCCATCCATCCACCCAACCATTTATCCATCCGTTCATCCATCCATTATCCACTCACCCATACAACCACTCACCCACCCACCCCTCAACCCACCCAGCCAGCCATTTATCCATCCATTATCCAGTCATGCATGCGATCACCCACCCACCCACTCATCCACCCATTCATCCATCCAACCAGACACGTATCCACTCACTCAATCATCCACCCATCTACCCATCCAACCACCCATCCATACACTCACCCACCTATCCACCCGCCCACCCATCTATCCATTCACCTACTCACTAACCCACCCATCCATCTATGCATACCACTCATCCATCCACTCACCCATCCATTATCATCCACTCATTCACGCAACCATCCACTCCCCCCATTCATTCACCCATCTATCCCACAACACCTCACCCACTACCTACCCATCCACTCATACCATCCCCTCCACCCATCTCTATCCATCCCACCCATACATCCACCCACTCATCTAGCATGTCATCTCCACCCATCCCATCAGTTCATTCTGTTTCACATGCCCCATGGATTGTTATCCAGCAACTTTAGCTCACTCACGCAGATCGTCTCTCATATGCCTAGGCCTTGCTGCTGGGCATTCTCTGAGGATAAATGACAGAGCCGAGTCCGGAGCCAGTCCATCCCTCAGGATGCTGAGGACCTTCTGCGCTGAGGCACCATCCATCCGCTCTTGTGGCTCAGGAAATCAGGCCACCCTCGGGCCCCTATGAATGAGAGCAGTGTCGGCAATGTGGGGGAGGGCAAAAATTTCTGCCCTGCCATGTCACGGTTGCGCAAGGGGCAATCAGGGCTTCTCTCGATGGAGCAAGAGATGGGGCCTCATGCTGCAAGGCAGGCCCAGGCAGGGCAGAGGTTGGCAGGGAGGGGGGGGGCCCAAGGGCCTGACACCCACTGCCCCTCTGCCCACCAGGACATCCCGAAGAAGCGTTCAGAACAAAGACCTCATGGAGTCCCAGGCCTCATCGACAGCCATTTTGAAGCCGGAGAGAAGGAGGAAGAGGAGCTGATTGCTTCTTCAAGGAGAGAATCGTGAGTAGGTGGTTCAGGCTGCAGCAGGGGGTGGTGGGCACCCTCGGAGGAGCTGGGGGCAGGGGCCTGAGCAGACCCCCTCCCCTTGGCTGCAGGAGAAGCGCCGTGCGGAGAGAGCAGAGCAGAGAGGATTCGCGCCAGAGAAGGAGAGGGTAGCGCCAGAACAGACTGGCCCGTTAAGGACAGCACCAGCCCCACCCCTGCCTCTGCCATTGAGCCCCCGGTCCAGAGAAAATCTCAGGAGGGATGAGGCCTTCCTCTCCTGGGGTTCCACTGCCGCTAGCCGATGATCAGAGCCACTGGCTGAGGCCCCCACGCCCTGCAGGACCCCTTGCAAGAGAACACATCCTGGCCAAGACCTGGAGCTTCCTTCCAGACAGTTCCAAGCCCGGGGTGGGTCCCTCAAGGATGCCCAGAAGGCAGAGGCCTCCTTCCATCCCTGAGCGTCTCGGGGACGGGTCCTCCACAGGAAGAAAGGCCAGAAGGGAGGAGGAGGACGCCCAGAGGAGAGCAGAGACGACCTGAAGAAGAAGAAGGCCCTGTCCTCCATGGGAGCCAACTACAGCAGGCTACCTGGCCCACGGTGCGTGCCTCTGCCACGGCTGCGAGCACGCCCGGCCGCCTTCAGGGTTGGCGGCGCCCTGCGCCCTCCTGAGTCCGGGCCCCTCTCTTTGGGCCTGTTCCCTACAGGCTGACCCAGAAGAGAGGCAAGAAGCAGACGGCACGCGAAATGAAGAAGAAGATTTCTCGCCGAGAGACGCAAGCCGCTCAACATCGACCACCTCAGTGAAGACAAGCCTGAGGTAAGGGGCGGGGTCCCGGGGGCGGTGGCACCTGCAGGAGCTGCCAAGGCCGCGCTCCTCGGTGGCTGCAGGAGCCCTCCGGGGGCCTCATTTCTCCTTATATTGACTTAAAAACTAAATCTTTGTGCATTTCAGGAACTTTAATACATAATTACTCTGAAAATTCTTCGTGAGCCGTCTCAACCAGTTCTTTGTTTTCTTTCCCTCCCCCCTCCTCCGGTCTGTTTCACCGGCTGGGTTCCTACAATAGTATTAATTCTACAAGATTATAAGCAATCTTCAATCTAGCAAGACATTGGTCAATAAAAGACATCTGGTGTATTTTTTTAACTGTCCATTGGATAGTAGCAGTTTGGGAAACATTCATTAAAATATTGTGGCTTTGCTCCTAAATGGGCAAAACCAATCAAATCTGTCTAAAGACTAGATGGCTTTTCTTTTTCCTTTTCTTTCCATTACTTCCCTGATTTACTACAAACTCATCTTCTCCGTCTTGGGTCCAAGCTTATTTTGATCAAGCAGGTATATTCTGACATGATGATGAAAAGGCCTTTTAGTTCACCCAACACTGTGGCCAGAAAAACTAGAAATATAGTCAGTGAAGCCATCGGTCTAATCTTGCAAGCTATAGAAATCAAAACATCGAGTACTATCCTCTCTAGGTTGTCTCCCAGTCTTCTGCAGACATGATGCTAATCACAGCACTAAAGGACCCTAATATGACATTCAAAGATTGACTGCATTTTATTCGCTTAACAACCCCCAAGCACAACTTCAGGAGGCATACAATATAGTTACCAAACTCTCCCTGTTTCTGCTTCATATAAGGAAATTTATGGGGTTCAAGAGCACAGTACTACTGTAAAATGCACCGACTACTTGTCCTAATCTTCCCATACACACAGAAACGGGCTTGAAATCATATGGCTTCTAAAAAAAACAATTTCTTGTACCCCTTCTCGACACACCCAGCTTTTCTTCATCACGTTTATCTACTCTATGCTGTCTTGCTTTGTTTATCTCAAACGGGGAATACAAAGCATACGCCTTGCCCCTGCAGCAGTATAATCCTAAATTATCTTTCTAGTGGCAAACTCGTGCCGTGTTTTTGATTTGAGATTCACTATTACACCATCCTTGTCGTATAACTATCCACCCTAGCCAAACACAGTTTGGGAGAATGACGAACAGATATTTTAATATGTGGTACAATGTAAGTCCTGAAGATACTATATAGAGATAGCTTCGGGCGGCACAAATGACCATATCTAGGAACAGAACCTTTGCAAAAGAACACCAACCTCGCAAAACAATTTGACTAGGCACGAAATTTCCTAGCTCTACGAAAATCATCATCGTGTTCTGGATAACATTTCCGCTACTCATGTCAAGCATATGAACCCAACTCCTACTTATTGGTCCGATTTTCTGCCACAAGTAGCTTTACGAGCCTTTAAGTTACCAACTACAGTCAGGGTATTCCATTATAAGGTGGGTTATTTCGGCGGGGCGGGGGGGGGCAGAGGAGGGGGGGGTCCGCCCTAGACTCACCCCCGCTACACCAGAACTTTTTTACAACTTTAGGAGAACAGAGATCACACCGAGCCTCTTATCAACCTATCTCATTTCCATATGGCTGAGGGCAATTAATGAGGAATCAGCAATTAAGGGTAGACTGTATTTACATATTACATCATGCCCCCGCTTGTTTCCCATGTTTGCTATTGCTCATCAAAACTCAAAAGCAAGATCAATATATTGACCTCACCAGAAAAACGTGGTTTCTGAACCAAAAGCAAAAATGACTCTGGTTTAGCCACAGACATCAACGTTTAAAAAATAATTTCGTTAATATACGTTGGTGAAGGATAATCCCTCTGGGAGGAGCCCTCATATACAACCTTCCTGGTCCTCTCGTAAAAGTATTTATCCCCCTCCATGCACCTATAGGAGCTGGGGACTTATTACCCTTTAATGTATGAGCCTATGGCAAACGAATAAAGTAATACTAACAACTCTCCTTGGAAGACACCCCCCTACAACTTAGCGACGAGAGTGCATCATTAGTGTAACGGAGAAAGAACAAGAACCCATCCATCTCCTTGGTTTGTGTTTCCTATGCACATTAACCTTTTCTTGCTTGTTTTGCTTGTGAATGTTCTTCTGCAGATGAGCATCGTTTTGTACTTACTTTTGCTTTCTTATACCTTCTTAATCCTTAACAATCCTTGGGCTATTAATCGTTCACAGAAGCCACCGGTATGTATTTATCCTTGTTTCTAGTAACATGAATCTCTGTTTTGACATATCTATAGACATTTTTGAAACTGTTGTATACTACTCCCTACTTCATAGGCCTGACAAATCGTTTTCCCTATTTTTGTATATTTATTTATTCTATTATTCATATTATTTTGAAGATGGTGATTCCTGGCTTACTGTCCTGCCCCTGAGTCGGCTGGGGGATGTTCTAGTGGCACTGGTATCGTCACTCGCTTGCAACGTCCTTGGAGCCTCCTCCGCCTCTGCTCCTCCGGCGGCCCATTGGTTCAATCAGTGGATCTCTTCTTCCTGAGCCTCAAAAACCATCTTTCACGAGATAGCTTTGGGATTACA